GAGGCAGATGCGCGGCCAGGATGAAACATAATAATAAAATAGACGTTCTCTGACCAAAAAATATATATTTATTACAAGCTTTCGGCTACCAATCTGTAGCCTTCAACGGGTATGAGTGTATGAAATATGAAACTATAGTCTATTATTGTATATACAGAAAGATTTGCATAATTGCGTATGAAATATGAGTGTGTATTGTCAACTATGACTGCTTTTTTATAAGAACAGTATATTGTCCGGGAAGTGAACATAAATTGTTGTCAGCATCAGTTGTTAAGGCTGTATGCCATGACTCTAGAGTTTTTCGGGTCCTTACGCCACTGCCGGAAAGTGCGATCACTTTGGCTATAGAGCCTCATTTTCGTGCACGCGACATTAGTTAAAGCATATATAACGTATGTGGTAACCACGAAAACGAAACTCCATGGCCAGGATAATACACTTTCTGGAAAAGTGTATTGCTTTCATAATAATGTTATATAATGCTAATATAATTTATATTTGGCTATTATTGTTGCATGCAAATATTTTAAATGATTGTATAATTGAAGCAGGATCCCAATGAAAAACCAGGGCACCCAGTGATGTAATGTCCTGGACAGTAACATTTACGTTTACTTTCTACAGCTATTCCAATCTGTAATACACCTGCAGATGATTGTCACGAGCTCGCCACGTGCACAGATACTGGTCCTGGTGAATACAAGTGTACGTGCAACGAAGGCTATACTGGAGATGGAAAGTCCTGTGAGGGTAGGTGCATCTAATTAATAGATAATCGTGATGGGAAAGACTAATTGCGCCAAGACATATCTTCGTCTTTAATATGTATTCCCAGAGCTCAAATTTATCTAATTTTTTTCCTCCAAATTATTTTCGTTGTGGGAAAAAATAACCTTGTACTTGACAACGAGGGTTTTTAAAATTACTTTCCTTGCGTGCTAGCGCATGTAAACGATTTTCCTCGTTGTCATGTAAGAATCTGCACACATTTTGATGACAAGTTATTGATGCAGACTAACTACAAGTCTGTTGCAGGTTCGTCAAAGGTTTGTCGTTTTTACGTGTGCATAAGACAAAAATTCCTCGGATCTGGTAAATTCATTAGCATCTTCATCTTCTAGTGTTGAAGATATGTGGTACTCCAAAGGATTACTGTCATGAGTTTGCCACGTGCACAGATACTGCTCCAGGCGAAATTAGATGTACTTGTAACGATGGATATACGGGAGATGGAAGGAACTGCGATGGTTTGTATGCGATTATTGCTTTTATTAAATTAAATTAAATTAAATTCAACACAAGCCAACACAACACAACACAACGCAACACAACATGTACCATACCATACCATATCATATCATCATATCATACCATACCATACCATACCATACTATATTATATAATACCTTATTTAATTTTGATCGTTTAATTGGCTGTTTATGGTCACGTGAATTTCCCAAGAGTGCAATGGAATACGTTCCATTGTACTCTTTGCGAGTGCAATTCAGTGTACTATTAACAATTATTGAATGAGGTTGAACACGATATGAAGAATTATCAAGCCCGAAGTTTGCCGTTATCAACCGAAGCCGAAGGCTGAAGTTGATAACGGCAAACTGAGGGCCTGATAATTCTTCATATTGTGTGAAAACCGAATTCAATAATTGTTTTATTATTTATTTAAAAAATTCAAAACAAACGGTCATCCATTTGTTCTTGAATAACTTAGTTCTAGCACTTCACTTGATTGAATTAATATTAGGATGTTAGGGCTTGTAATCCAAGTGAGAATATATACATTTTAAGACCTAACCAGGAACGACTGCGAAAAATGCAGCACAAGGTCCTGTGGTAGGAATCGAACCTACGGCCCTGTGATTCCGGAGCCCGCGTTAATAATCAGCCAAACAAGAATTAGGAAAAGTGTTCTTACCTATTCTAGAAGCTTTTGTTTATTTTTTTGTATTTAACGAATCTTTATCTTCCAGTAATTTTTGAATTTCGGCTTTGCCAAGGTTGGCGAACCTTTCAGTGGAAGAAGCCATTTGTATTTTACTTGTCAATTAAGAAAAAAAACAATTCTTTAGTCCTTCTGCAGCCGTCGTCGTCATATCTATGGCGTCAGCGAGTTAATATGATTCTCGTCGTCATAGTAATATGGCGCAAACGCGTCCAAATTTTTTTCATATTGACTCTTTGACGTCATTTTGCTATTATGAATGTGAAAAATCCAGATTTGGTTAGCCATTGAGTTGATATGACAATTTCACAGTTGGCTGTTAGCCAATCAGAACCAGGAATTTTTTAAATAAATAATAATACGTTTTATTCCATTGCACTCTTTGTGTTTTCGATAAATCGCATCCGTCAAAATGCTTCTCATACGAATCTATTCATTTATTTTGGTATTATATAAAACAAATAATGAATGTTTATTAATTCGTGCAATGGTAAGAATATTTTCATTCGGTGAAAGATGGAATGTTCCATTCAACTCGGCTGTCGCCTCGTTGAATGGAACATTCCATCTTTCACCGAATGAAAATATTCTTACCATTGCACGAATTAATAAACATTCATTATTTGTATACCATACCATAACATACTATACTCTACCCTATCACAGTATGTATATCATACCTTATCATACCATATATACTATACCATGCAAATATGCTAACCTACCATACGTATAACGAAGAGGACTATAATTCCACTGTGGTTTAACAAATTCTTTCTTCTTTTTCTTTTCATATTTTTCACGCAAAAGCGGAAAGAGTAATTGTGAGTATGAAAGCAACTTCATTCCTTTTTGGGATGGCAAATAATGTGTGACATGTTTCAGACGTTTTGTAAGATTTATGAAAAAGATAGCCAGTTAAATTAGACTTCGCAAAATCAAATGTTAGCTATTGTACAGTACCTTAGAATAGCGCAAATATATAGGCTGGCCTGCATTATGTAGTATTTAAAACACGAGAAAGAGACTCAGTGTTTTATCATTTTTAAAACGCGAGGCGCAGCCGAGCGTTTTAGATATGATAAAGCGCGAATTCGAGTGTTTTGAATAGCTTAAAATACGACTACAAAAGAACCCTAATTAGAATGAACAATTATATAATCATACTAATTAGGATGAACAATTATATAAAGAATACTAATGAAGATGAGTTTTATCAGATATAAAGTCACTCCACGTGACATATTATGGCTGACATGATTTGCCACAAGGTTTATGAATTTTTAATGAGTATATTTTAAGCCAATATAAAACGCCACCACTACTGCCGGTTTCAAGCAAGGCGATCTTCAGACCACTCTCACGCTAACATTTTAAATAATTAACTTTAAAGGAACGAAATGTATAGTATGGTAACGTCATACACATATTTTTCAGTACAAAGGTCCTCGTGGTGACAAAGGAAATAAAGGACCGCCAGTAAGTTTTGTTCATATCTTTAATGCATTTAGAGGGCCTTATAAATAGCCTGCTCAGCAGCCCCCACGACCTAGGTCCTCCGGCTGGAATCCGGTGCAGCGCTCTTAATTTAAAATGGAAATCAAGGTGTTTTTTTTGCCATACCTGAATTCCATAATTTTAAGATTAAAGCAAATATTGCACCGACCTACAATTCCCCCAGTTCTGAAGCAAATTGCCGGAGTAAGATATTCTTACCTTTAAATATAAATTTCGTTTTTAGGGTGAAGTTGGAGCAGCTGGAGCAGGTGGTGCAACTGGGGCTGGTGGAAGGAGGGTAATAATTTATTTAAATCAATGACTGTCATTTTCTGAAACAATTACATGTCTATATTGTGCATATACTTGACAGCATGGAATCGTAATGTAATTTGCAAAAAATAGGAATATATTGATCTTACTATATTTTCAATTTATCATAAAGTTTTTAATTAATTAATTAAAATATTATTTTATGATAATTTTCATTTTTAGACTAATTAAAATCTCCCTCTGCATGTTCATACCTAATTATCATATTTGGAAAATTTGAAACCTTTCCGTACATGCATTAGTTTCCAAGAACATTTTCGTGCTTTCTTGGGGGCCCCCCTTTCTTCAAAATTTCCATACTATGGAAGTGTGCAAAACTTTGGTAGTTGAATTTCCACAGTATGAAATTGTTTCAAATTTTCCAGTGTATTGTTAGTCATTTCTCAAGAATATACAAGAAGTTTAATATTTACTTACTTTATTAATGTTTCAACTCTCTACAATATAAGAAATAACATTAACAGCCTGAAGAAGAGCACTATTAACTATTCGAAATGTTGTTTTAATAAGTTAATATTAACTTGAAAATATTCTATTTGAGAGCTATGTTGCCGTGTATTTACATCTAATGTATTGTGTATTTAACTCACGATTACACATTTGACTCTGTATGATTTCAGGGTATCCCAGGAGCAAAGGGAATTCCTGGTAGAGAAGGTAATCAAGGTCCATTTGGTCAAGCTGGACTTGCTGGTCCCCCCGGAGGAATGGTATATAATATATATATAATATGCAGTATATATATCTTAATTATCTACATCAGAAGCTGCATGATTGTATAAAAGAGTAGTTATACTGTAGTTAACTACATTTAATTCGAAATTCAGCAATTTGCGTGGGAATTGTGGTTAGTTAAAAAGTGGTTAAGAGTTCACACAACAGGCTTTAGGAGGTTCAGTTGCATGACTCAGTTGTTACCTTGGTTTTCTAGTCTGTGACTTGGTTTGTTTGCTTGCATGCTTGCTTGTTTGTTTGTTCGCCGTTTGTTCGTTTGTTCGTTTGTTCGCTTGTTTGTTTGTTTGTTTGTTTGTTTGTTTGTTTGCTTGTTTGTTTATTTGCTTGTTTGTTTGCTTGTTCGTCTATCACAACGCAAAATGTATCAAACAGTTGAAAACGAAAGTTATTTTATTTTCAGATTCTTTCTTTTGCCGCTGGATATCTCGATGAAGGAAGGGAAGCTGGAAGTCAAGCAAAAGGACCCACGGAAAGAGTTGTTATCAATCTTGGCGTACGAAATTCATATATATTTATTGTCCCTTTTTAGGGGACACTATAACAAATACGTTTTTGTACTAAGAAGTGTTTTTGTACATCAACTTGTCGTCACGAAACGAATTTCATTCTAAGTTTGACGATAAATAAAGGAAACATTCCTTATGACGAGTTGTTTGACTTGAATTTAGAACAGTCATCAAATATGCAAATATACTCAACTTAATACTGAGATAACTAGTTGCCATTTAGAGTAGATAAAGACTTTAAATAGTGACCTTACTTCACCTTAGGACTCACCTGACCACACCGACACCATAGGACCTTACGTTATGTCACCTTACCACACCTCACCTTACTTATTTTATTTATTAGTTCCGTCATATTACAATACACAATACTATAACAAGAACAAAAATAATTTACATGACTATAGGCAGGATGACCGCAACAGCGTGAGCCAATTACTGCGGGCCCGAATTAGGACATACAAACATAAAAAGAAACTAATAAAACCTACACCTCTTTCAACCTCTTTCTTTCATTATTGCAGTAATAAATTTACGTGGTGTTTCCACAAACAATTATATTTTATCGCCATGCAAACATTCAAAGAACTTATAAAAAAAAAACTATTTGAATAAAACTATAACTAATAGCAGCACTCACCTCACCTCACCTCACTTCACCTCACCTCACCTTACCTTACCTTACCTTACTTTGCCTTACCTTATTCTGTTGCAGCAAGCAAATGTTGGACCTCGTGGATCAAGAGGAAAGACTGGTCAAAGAGTAAGTTATTTTGAAAACATGTACAGGTGATATCACTTAAAATACCAACCATGCTTCATATTTTAATATTAATAAATTGTCATTCAGGGTCCCAACGGTAAGTCAGGATCACAAGGATCACCTGGAGCGGTAGCTGCACGGGTACGCCCACTTTTATATTTTTATTATTTACCAAAAGTTGATATTACAAAAGAACGCTAGGTTACAAGGTCATAATAAAGAAATACTAATATTGCTCATTTTGATCAAATAATTGATCATTTTGCTATCGTATAGCAAATAATGCATTGTCAAATAGATGTGACGTTCTTAGATTTTGTTCGGCGCGTATGAGGTCAATCCTTTCCGGGAGGGGCACACTCGAAAGATGTCCGAATTTTTATGGAAGCTCGTAACCTGAATTTAACAACTATTGTATAATGAATTTGCCCGAATTCTCTTCATGCTCGAATTTCCTTGGTCTTCTAGATATCTGAGAGGGCAATTGCCCCACCTCTTCTGTCGCGTAAGCTTAGGCAAACATATTGAAAGTTGAAAACTTGGAAAATTATGTTTGCGAGGCGAAAATCGCACTTATAATTGCAAAACAAAATGTGTTTCCAGTTTTGGAAAACAAAAAATAGAGTTTTTAAGGGTGAGCAAACAAGTGTAATATGTAGTCCCGCAACCATGTTTCCTAGTTTGCCTCGTGCATAGCAAAATTTTTCCGTGTGTTACATTTTGTTGATTTGGTAACAAAATGTAATCAAACGAAATGAAAGTTCCATCAATTTTCCATGCTCAACATATATATGTATGGAAAAGATTTTACTTGTTGGTATGTTTTGCAAAAAGGTGATTAGTTAAAAAAATTATTTGCAGGGTCCCCATGGCCGTATGGGTAAACCAGGAATGGTGGGTCCTGATGGAAAAGAGGTAAGTGCATTTGAAATATATGAAATTACATATCACACGTGAAATATATCTCGCATTTCGGTAATTATACACGATTGGATGCAGGCTTGTACTTACTCATCTATGCCATCATGGAATAAAGGGATACAAAATATCAATACAGAAAATGGCGTTATCATGCAGTCATTTACAAGGCAACTAGTAATATAAAATGTTAGTATAATTGTTATCTTCCCTTTATCACGAATATGAACAAATTTTTTTTCAATTTTTTTTATTCTATAAACTTTGCCGATGAAACAGTATACATAACATAACATAACATAACATAACATAACATAACAGGACAAAAACAAACGTACATAATGAAATACAGTACATACATGACCACGACTGGGTGACCGCAACAGCGAATAGCCAATTCTGCGGACCGTTTTAATTAATTACTTTCGAAAAACACTTCATGCCCGCACTACGTTAATATCAGTGAATACAACCAAAAAGTCATTATCATTCTAGTCTGTTCTGAGCTAATTATTTTATTTATAGGGATCAAGCGGAAGTGATGGTTATCCTGGTCGACGAGGTAGCAGAGGATTACCAGTAAGCATTTTTAAATTAATACATCTGTATATATACCTGGCCAAATTTGTTGACAACATTATGTTAGTATGGGTAGTTTGGGGTCTTCCAACAATTCTTCCAAGTTTTAAAACCACTTTAAAAATGGCTTGCGTACAATGGTAGGTTTGAAACACAATTTTAGAAGGTGTTTTATGAACTACTGTGTAAGTATCAGACAATTTGATGTACATTAATTTCAACGCGCGACCTCTAAAACTTGGAGTTTAATTTTTACCATAGTAGATTTTCACGCATAATTTTTAAACTTTTTGTAAAGTTGGTAAGAAATCAATCATGCATGCATAACATCAGTCATGCGTGTGGTGAATGATCTGATATCTTTATTTCGCAGGGACAACGAGGTGATCGAGGCGAAACTGGAATACAAGGGTATCTTGGTCATATGGTATTGTGTTCAATTGTTTAGTATCTAAAATTGCACATGTTTTACTTCTCTGATTTAAGATGGTCTGAATGGACATTTGCCAGCACTTTTGACAATGGAAAAATATCTTAACTCAGGGCTGACAAATAATGATTTACAATTTCGAACTGATACATTACAAAACATATAACTGAAAATCGGCAAGATTACAGCTGGCAATCTGGAAGGAATATTAGGCACTTGTTAATTAAAGACCAAATAGATGACTGCAATTCCAGATTGTGTTTTAAGGTTATGAACGCGCGTATGCAATTTGTTTGGGGATTATATTATATTTTATTTACTTAAAATTAAGTTGGCAATATACCTGCATGCATGGTTCAATTTATACACATTTGCTTTTATTCTAGAAATCTTATATAATCTTAACATTAATTACTTCTCTTCTAGGGTTGGAGTGGCCGAGTGGGGAAAACGGGCAAACAGGGCGAAGTTGGAGACAAGGTAAATATACTTTCTAGGAGTACAGTCTTGAATTTTATTTGTTTTGAACTTACTGATAGCGCTGTGCATGCAATTTGAATAGGGGCATTCATCTATCAGCAACAATTGGGCTTTTATTTTATTATGTTTTGCTCGATGTACTGCATGCATGTATATATGTGCAAAACAATATTAAAATTACCCACAAGCCGAATGACCAATTACGGACAGAAATTACGGACATGGTTTATTCTACTTTCTTCGTTCCTACGGCTATAGCTGATCTCTTTGTAAAACGTTTTTGTGGGTATAATTTAAGAGAAAGAAAGTGTTTGTCTTTACCGAAAGCAAGGACAGAAATAATGAAAAAGTCTATTAGCTATAAAGGACCAATTTTATGGAACAATTTGAACAATGAGACAAGAGAAATAGAAAGTTGCAAACAATTTTCATATTGTATAACTAGTTTAGAATTACGCGATTCAATGTTTAAATAGAACTTTATTAGTATAATCTAACTATAGAGTATAGATAGATAATTATGTAACCCACGACCCTATCAGCTCTGTCTGTATTTAATTATCGTGGTTAAATAAATGCTTTAACTAACTAACTAACTAAAAAATTTGTGTAACACTTTGAAATAAGACTTCAACAATAAACAGTGAATTATACAGGGTGTATCAAAATAAACGCGATTCATCTTTTGTGCTTAATAACTTTCGAAATACTATTTCTAGTTAAACGCTTTTAGGCTTACTTCAAAGCCTGTTCTTTTCTCTTTCAAACAAACTATTATCCTTGTTTCCAATGCTAGTAATAATTGCACAAGTAAAGACTTAGTAAAACCTATCATTTTTAGTTGCTGTTTAATTATGCAAGTTTACTATGTTATTGTTTAGTCGGTTTAAATGTTAGAATTTTCTTCTTTAAACTTTAATGTTGTCGTCACTACATCTGGAAAACCACGTAAGAACAAATTAAAAGTATTTTAAAAGAGACCAGGTTGTTTGAAAATCCTAAACGAATGCTAAAATCGTCAAAACATTCTGGTGTCTGAGCCAGAGTGTCATCGAATTGCGATGTAATGTAAACAGAAATTATAGCAAGTTGATGTCAGTCAGCTTAGATGGTCCAAGCCAAAATTATATCGCATTTGAAGTTTCAAACTGAGTTAAAAATAGTGGAAGAAAAGCCGTAATTATACTTATTGTTACAATCCATTTAATAAAATGCATTATTTTTTGTTTTAATGAAAAAATCAGTTATTTTCATGAGAACGTTTACTAGTATTCCATCTCAATTTTTTTAATCTCCAATCGCAATAACGTAAAGTATTATTACCCGCGAACCATGGAGTCAAATTTAAGAAACAACCCACTGTTAGAAAGCTGAATGGCTACGCTTTAAAATGAATGCAAACTTTAACGTTTTCATCTATTATTTGTTTAGCAATTTACATTTCAGTCGAGGATTGCGCTTTTTTTGATACACCCTGTATATAACGTGACGTTGTTAATCGCAAAATCTGAGAATAAAGTAGGTCGTTTGCAACTTGCCTCAATCGCTGGCTGCAAAACAAAGTCTATATATCGAAGAATTATATTCAGTATAATGTTTGCCTGATTTCAGTTACTCCCTCTTCTGCATTTTCAATAGTTGTACAGCTGAGGTTATGGTTTTTCGACATTTCTCTAATTAACTGTATGCTAAAAATACATGCATGCAGAAACCCTCGCCTTGCTGATAAAACCATTATATTTTCCGAACTTGAAGTATTTAAATTAGTTGTCATGATAACACGATAATTTTATTAAGAACAGGGGCGTAGGAACCGGGAGGGGGGGCACGAGGGGCACGTGCCCCCCAAATTTTTTCAAAGGACTAAAAGTGCCCTTTTTTGTAATGAAAAGTGCCCTTTTTTGTGATGAAAAGCGCCCTTTTTGTACAAGCTAATGTCGCTGTAAATACTAAATTAACATCAAAGGTGCCCTTTTTGTTTGGAAATTTCCACGTTTTTTAAAAAAAAAATGCTCAAAAACGCGCAATTTCGGTATGGTACGACGGGAAAAATCCCCCCCCCCCCGCCGTCGCCAACATCTCCGGGAAAAATTTTTTAGGTGCCTTTTCAATACCCTAAAGTGCCCCTAGAAGCCGGTGGCCCCCCATCTTTTGATGCTTCCTACGCCCCTGATTAAGAATATTTTTAAAATTGAAAAATTCCCCTACAAATTATCACTTTTAATTACAAAATTATCAATTTCCCAAATAGGTCTATGTATATTACAGTAGGTATGTTAGAATTATACGTTACTTAGCTATTATACGTAATAAATGAATTTAATGTAGGATTCGACCACAAACGCTTCGCAAAACGTTTTAAAATGTTCTTAAAACTAAACTCCGAGTTTGAAATAATATGATTTCAAATTCTCGCATGCAAATAACTTTGCTTTCCTCTTTAATTAAATACTTTAATAAAATAAAAAAGGGTAGTCAATAAATCATAGGCAGCTCAGAATATATATATATGTATTCATTTAAAAATGCGTTAAAACTTGAAAACACTTAAAAACGCGCATAAAGTTCGCCTGACTTTGCTATCTAGCGATAATATTGTGTAGCTCATTATTGCCAGACTCACATTGTTACGTTGTATTATTATATGATAACTTCTTACTATACTCGATAGCAAATCTTTCGGGGTTTTTATTTCTCAAAAAGCTTTTGAAATTTCCAAAATCTTGCAGAAATAAAATTGTTATTTCCGCTGTCGTCATGTAGTTGTTATAATGCAAATTTTAAATTTGACTAATCAGTGTTCGCTATTCGTGACAGTCCGCTATATTGTGAGATCAGTGAGGATGACCATCCACTCACGGTAACCCATACCCAGGCGGTGATCGCACTACGACCGCAATGCATTATTTTGGATATTTTCTTCAAGATGGCGGATTTCGAGCACGATGAAAGGTATGTTGGCGCTCTATTTTCTGCCACGTTTTAAAGTTTAAACTTTTTGTTTTTTCTTAAAAAGGAAGTTGCATGTAATATTGTTATGCTGTGTTACTTTTCAAATCGATAATTTTTGGAATTCGATAAAAAATATCATTTGATTGTAAGCTCGTGTATTTTTCCCAAATACACTGGTCTGTTTACTTTTTCATGTCACAGGTTAACCGTTCACACATCACATTTAAAATTGCAATTGGCATAATCTATGATCATTATTTGTGACCCATAGACCTTGGCGCCCCTCGATATTGTATCTTTTTGGGGCTTTTAAATCATGATATTTCCTTTGCTAATTTCAGGTCTTCTTGTCCAGAGTTCATGTTCTCCCGCTATTTTGGGGAAGCGTTCGTGCATCCCAGAGTCCCATACGCCAGGCAAACAAAAAACAAAGCGGCAAAGAAATAATAAACGCAAAAGAGAAGCAAAAAACATTTTCAAATGGAAAAAATAATGTGTGTCAAAATGAGCAAGACCAATGGCAGACTATTGGGCAACCGAAGAACAGACTTTAATAATGGGACTGTTTCATATTTAACAGGATCAATGACTGTCTGGTGGTGAAAAACCATTTGTGCTTGTTGGAACTGTTTCTTGTATTATAGTCAGTTGGAGCAACTGGCAATGACTCAGTAAACTTTTCTTTGGTTAATTTTAGATGTGTTAAAATTTTTGCCATTTCCACCAAGTTACCCATACCATTTGTTTGTAGCTTTAAATAGCACCTGAAACATGACATGCATACTGTAGTCCACATTGCTGCAGAATGCCTTACGTACTACGGATGTAAATATAACACAGATACATGTACAGGCATAATACAGATAGTGTCTCACACAAATAGTGTACAGCATTATACCCAGGCATTCACCAAGTCAATGTTGAAAATAATAGTTCTGTGTAAATTTTACCCCACCCAGGCCATCCCATTAAAAGCAGGACACCCATGTCAATAGTTGCACACAGTGTATTAATTATGTAATTACAATAAATTTGTTATTCATATATTTTATAACACTTCATTGAACAATGTTTTACTAAGTTTATACATGACCACCATCATCATTGAAATGCAAACAAAAACATCCCATTTTAATTATTGTTATACATGCTGTACCTTTTCACACTGATTTAGAGCATTTGCACATGACGTCACAGCCACCATGTTGGTGTTCCAACATTTTAATTAGACTCTTGTCTGGAACACCAACATGGCCGCCATGGCTTTTGTTGAGTTGGCCCGTGGGGAATGAGTGCAAACGCTCTATACAACAAGGTCTGAATCTTCAGACACTGCAAAACCGCAGCCTCAAATCAAAGCGCCTGGGGACGAGGAACCCTGGCAAAACCAGCATATCCATTATTCACAATAAATGCAATTTGTACATCTGCTTCATATGGCGCCATTATATGCTGAATTGAATATCTTTTTCACAGCAAAGCTGAAAGGTGGATAATAACAAATTGTTAATTACTGCACACAACTAGTTTCCAATTTACTCTCTATAATTTTTTATGCATTTGTACATAAAAGGGGTGTCATTTAAAAACAGGAATTTGAATTTTGCAAAACAAGTTGATCAAACGTCTGATTAGCAAGGCATTGGCATGGATTATAAATTGTTGTGACATTCCCGTGCACCAATAAAATGTAAATTCTGGGGAGGGGTATAGGCAAGGTGTAAGGATAAAAAATTTTTGGGTAAATTCTAGTGAGTGGAAGGCTAGAACAAAGTTCTTGAAAACTAGATATTATGTGGTTCAATTTAAACCACATCATTTTTCTTACTCCATATATTGTTATGCAAGGTGTTTTTCTGCCAGCTGCAAATTGCCATTGCAATGATTTTTTATTACTTAGGCGCTACTGTATTTATATGATCTTGGATACTAGACACACCCAATCCCCACCCGAGACAACTTTACTGCACATTTAATCTCTTCCTATGAGAATGGCTCTAAGTACGAGATTGTGACTCCATGGAAGCCGAGACAAACATGTAAACACATGGACAAACGTTGTCCCTCCTACAAGGGTAACCCTGTTTTGTAAACAGGGTGTCCCTACTGCCAGGGTGACCCTACCAGCCCAGACGAGTTGAAAACTTTCCATATAAACACTTGCATTTAAATGTTATATAATGAATATAATTTTGCCTCTCCCAGGGTAGCTCGGAGGGTAGAGAGTGTCTCTATTACCCGAGATCATATAAACAGCACCTCAGTTACATTATTATCCCCTACCCCTCAACATCTCTATTCAATGGTGCATAATATTTACAATATTTGTGATCATACCAAAAATTGAATTGGCATGGCATACAAGTTATGTGAAGATTATGATTTTCATCCCATAGTTTTTAGGTAAGATTGTGTAGTCAAACTATAGAAATTGTGACCGATGATGGCATTGGAAGTACTAAAATGATGGGCAAATTCTATTAAAGCATAACTAAAATTACATGGAATTTTACAGTAGCTTGCATATTGTATATGTATTAAATAATATAATATTGCAGAAAAGTTTCCGTGTCTATGCATACTTTTACCGTATGTCCACAACCCTGAAACATTTGCATAATTATAATAACAATACAGTCATATAAAGAACAATAAAGTAAATAGAATATACATAAGTTTAGCGATTGAAACACTGCACAAACCAATAAGTAAACATATAAATAAATTAAAACAAACATACTTGCGATCATCGCCAAACCTTTGAAACTCACAGCCAACGCTTCGTGCAGTCAGCAGGATGCATCGACTGCACAAACTTTTCCAGAAGTTCTTTGACATGTACTGCCACTGTGATTCTTTCAAGAAGGGCAATAGACAATTTTATATACCCATCGCTCGGCCGTGCACAGTGTTTTCACCTCGAACGTCAGAACGCTAATGAGTGAATTTTTATTTTACTCATGATGCATTGCGGTCGTAGTGCGATCACCGCCTGACCCATACCCATGCGCCCAAAATTATTGATGAACTTTAGACTTCGCTAATGCTTTCCTTTCCCCGAGGGTAAATTCAGTGCTGTGCGGAATTTAGGGAATTAGTACCCTCGCCCCGGGCGGAACGGCGCCGTTGACTCGGGGATAAGAATACTGCACTACTGCCTCTGGGAACAAACGAAAATGCAGAATAGGCAGTAACTTGCCCCAAGCAAACATTACACTAAATATTTCTACAAATTTTGTTCTGCAACTAGCAATTGAGGCAAATTGCAAACGGCCTCCTATATTCCCTGATTTTTCGATTTACAACATCGCGTAATATAATTTACTGTTTACTGCAAAAGCCATATTTCAACGGTATATGCCAGGGACGTCGGAGCGGCTTTAAAAGTGGGTGGGGGGGGCACACATTTTGGGGATTCGGGTGATGCCCCCCGGAAAAAAATTGAAACTGGAGTCTCTGAAATGGCATTTCCTGCACTTTAGAAGGAGATTTACAGAGTTCCAAAGATAACAAAATGTCATAAAATATCTCAAATTTTTTTCTCTACACTGAAATAATAACTCGTAACTGAAATAATATCGATTAACTTTGTGGTTTATTATTGATCATTGTTAAAAAGTGGGGGGGGGGGGCAGACATTTAGGCCCCCCAACTAAAAAAGTGGGGGCTCCACCCCCGCTTCCGACGCCCCTGGTTTATGCAAATTACTAAGGATTCCGAAGTAGAATAATCATACCGTGATTTCTGGCCACGATGATACTGTACTTATTCAGTCACTAAAGCCATCGCTTTTAATCATTTAATGAGGACGGTGAATAAAATAAAACGGCGAATAAAATAAACCCTAAAAAAGTAACTTTTTACCCTGAGCGAAGAGCACTAACCGTTTCACCTGAGTTGTTCCTGCAGAGGTCCAGTATAATATAACGGCCATTGTTTAGAAGTCCACAGTGTCAGAGCTACTGGTAATGAAATCTGCATGTGTGCCCAAGGACAATTGGCAGAGGCACCATTCTCACATGCGATATAAACACTGTGCCACATGTTGTAAAAAAGGAACGTGTGCTGATGACCCGAAATATATATCGTATTGGCTAATATATGGAGCAGTAGCACACGAATCTGTTACATTTTAGGGTGTAAATGGTAATGTTGGCAAACGTGGAACACAAGGTACTAAGGTACGTGCAGAATTCTATAGAAAGCCATGTGTACCTCTATATCGACCCTCACAATATATATATATATTTCCCAAAACATCACCCCTTCATAAGATCTTCAACCGAAACACGATCAAAGTTAGCTATAGCTGTATGAATAATGTAAAGAGCGTCATATCGAGACATAACAAACGCGTATTGAGAGAATCTAAATCCGAAGAATCTACCAACGATAACAACATTGAAAAACTTTGTAACTGCAGAAATGTAAACGAATGGCCGCTTAACAACATGTGCTTGACGAAAGATTTAGTTTATCAAGCCGAGGTAAAAACGAAAGACAACAACGATATAAAATCCTACATTGGTATGACAGCGACAACATTTAAGGAGAGATACAGAAATCACAAGAAATCATTCAATGATATCAAATACGAGAATGAAACTGAACTTTCTAAACATGTTTGGAAACTAAAACTAAATAGAAAACAATTTAATATCAAGTGGTCCATCTTATCCCGAGCAAGTTCAATCAAAGCCGGTGGAAATAGTTGCAATTTATGTTTAGAAGAGAAATTGCAAATACTCCGTAGTTATAATTTTCGGTCTAATTTAAATAAACGTAGCGAAATTTTCATGAAATGCGTGCATGCGCGCAGATTCCACGCGGGACGATTCAAACGAACACGCGTCAGCAAACATTGCGAGTAGTAAAACGCAACAACTTAACCGTATTAATATGTTGCCTGATGATTGCTTGTTGCATGAAACTTAAAGTAGCAACTTATTCAATTGAAAAATTGTATTAAAATATTAAATTATTATAATATGCTCTACAATTGTCTTGTATTGAGCACTCTTTATTCTGAAAAACGGGAAATTACTTTATGAAATTATATCTATATATATATATATATATATATATATATATATATATATATATATATATATATATATATATATATATATATATATATATATATAGTGAAATGTTGCAGATAACAAGATACAAGTGTTGTATATAGAAAAGGTTTCAATGTGCAACCAAAAGAGACATTTATAACGTAAAATAAAATAAAAGCCACTCAAA